GTTTGCCCCTGACAGCGAGGCAACTCTTTGTGCACGGGTGTTAGACAGGTAAAAGAATAATATATGGCTGGGTCGGAATGCGATTTGCTGAACATCAATACCTGAGTTGTCTAACAACCAGGCGCAAATGTATTGTGTGAAACTTCCATATATTAAATTTCCTATCACATGTTTATTGTCAAAACGTAATCATTAGGGAATGGATTTCTATGATTTTGTATATTTTTGACCGTTGCTTCAGGGCATAGCTAAATGAAAGTTTTTGAGTTTTGGTTAGAATTGGATGCTATGTAGATTAATATGTTAGTACATATTTGACCCATTTTTCCTGTTGGTACAAATTCATGTAATTATAGAGTATATTTTGCGTATTTCGTTATAATACAGACTTAGGCTTGTATCTCTGAAGCGTCTCATCTTTTCATATAATCTACTACTACTAATATGTTTCGCTATTGAAATGCATTACATTTCATACTATTGGTCACGTGATTTTAATTACCTTTTACGGTACGCTCTGCAAACATTTCAATAGACGAAAGACTTTGTCGCCAGTGTAATTCCGTCTCTCTCCCCGTCTCTCTGTCTCTCTCGGTCTTTCTATCTCTGTCTCTCTCTGATTCTCTGTTTCTGTTTTTCCTATCTGCGTTTCTGTCTTCCTCTGTCTCTATTTTATCTGTCTCTCTCGGGAGAAATTTCAAAATTGCAGGGTCATAACACGGGATGAAGACGTCATTATAATCGTACATCACTGTGCAACGGGTTGCGTTAAGCGCCGTTATGTTTTGCGCTTATTCAGGGCGCTACAGTCATCATAAAATCATCAACGCGCATCTGTGTGCGCAATCATATGTCTGTATTCTTTCTGGAAATGCAAGCAATAAGTTGACAAAGTTTTATCGCAATCGGATGAATGGTATGACAGCGTATTAAGTATGAACCAACAAACAAACGTCTTTTATATATTATTTTTATTTGTTTATTTGTAAGTGTTCATACCTTGACACAGCTTATGTTTTTCTTTCCTATAGATGATAAAATACTTATGCATAAATGGGATATTTCGTGATATCATATTTTTTAAACCGATCAGAAAAATGTAAAAAGACATACAATGTACGTCTCGTGTTTAAGATAACTTCTAGAAATATTTTTCCCGCGAAGTAAGATGAATTATGCTTTTTGCGCAAAAATATATATTTTTTCATTCCAAGTATGTGTCTCCTGAATTTTATCAGGAAAGGTTTATATAGGAAATGAATATTTTAATTTTAATTGCATGTTATTGTGCATATTTCCGATGTTGTTGGTCATAAATATACATTTTAAAAGCATATTTAAAGAATTTTTAGGGCACAAAAATACTCTCCCTAGTAAACACCTTCGACTCCTGTAAATACCCTTGAAGTTTGTAATTCTTATTTCAAGACACTAATTCATCGCTTGTGAAACCGCTTGCAACAAGTATTGTGCAGTTTGGGATAGGCATGAAAGGGACGTGTACTATGGTGAAAACGGGAACAAGCGTGGATATGAGGAGAACGAAATTGGACCGAGCTTTGAGATGCGTGGACGATCATGACCGTATGTCTTCACGGGGCGTTGACAAGCGTAGATGTGCGTGACGAGCATGGGTGAGCAGAGGCAAGAGTGGAGTGTGGATGCACATGAGCGAACATGGAACTGCGAACGTCTTCCGCAGTTCATCTTCCGTTATCTACGTAAAGTTGGTCATAGAGAAATATTAAAATCTCGTTGCTTGCAAATCGTTGTACCCTAAATGCTACAATTTGCCACCGTTGGAACATTGTTAAGAGCCAAAATGAATTCTATTGTTGAGGCGCAGGCACTAGCCCTGCTAATTCCCAGCCCAGCGGCCGCCGCTGCCCGCGACCCCCGAGCGC